TCTTTGGGTCTCTCCACAGGGTTCCCTAGTGTCCCGAGAAGCCAGCGATAAGGAAAAGGTGATACTAATTTTAGGCAATAGGGTGAGGGATGGGGGATGGCAGATGAAAGGGATTGTCTTAGGATGAAGATACCATTCTTCATAACGGGGTAGGAATCACCAACGATTTATTTTTATCTTAAACCAAGGGAAAAAAGAGATAAAGTTCTACTGATCCAGGGATTGTTGGGGGCGGGGGGACAAAGGGAACAGCAGCTTTCTCACGGGCATGGGTTTTTCCTTGTGGAGGGTTTGGGGATGAGTGAGGATGCCAGACTTGAAGAACAAAATGATTACCCTGGTCTCCCATTCTGGACTCTCTTTTTCAAACAACTGTTTTTGCTTCTGAAGGAAAAAAAAGTCAGCATGGAAGATCTTGACTGAAAATCATAAGCAGAGAGTAGTGGGTTGTGATTCAGATTACAATTGCAGTGACTGATGGGTCTGGGGAAGCCATTGGAGGTGAGAATGTATGCTGAAAGGTCTCTCTCTCCTAGAGGCCACTGAAGAACAGTCCTAGATGAGAGGCAGAGTTCTCTGAGACCTTAGAAAAGGGATGTATTCCAAGACATCCCTTTACCTATTCTCAGGTTAAAGAATTGCCTACCCTTAAAGATATGGACTTTCTCAACAAGAACCAGAAAGTTTATATTGGTGAAGAAGAGAAGAAAGTATTTCTAGAGAAGCTAAAGAGAGATGTGGAGGTGATGATTGGGGTGCTCTGGGAAATAGCCTTGTTTCCTTTTTTTTTTTTTTTGCTCCCGACAGGGCAGATGTCTTTCCCATTCACAATATGAGGGACTTCCTCCCCTTCCCTTTTTTCTTCAAGTCCTCTGCATGAAGGGGAGTTGGGTGTGAGACATGAAGAACCCCCAGAGCTGACCCATGGAGGGGGTGGCTGGAATGGGCTAAAAGGATGATCTTAGATACAAGGACATTTAGGCACTAAAGTGAGGTGGTATACCTGTAACCCTCACTTTTACATTCTCATTCCTTAGGAAGTCCCCAGAAATTCAGGGGTGGAGGTGTAAGGGTGGTACCTGGGAGTGGGGAGGAGATCTGGGGTGTCTGATTTGTCAGTGGGGTCTCAGTTCCTAGTACAGCTGAAGATCATGGACTACAGCCTTCTGCTGGGCATCCACGACATCATCCGGGGCTCTGAACCAGAGGAGGAGGGGCCTGCCCGGGAGGAGGAGGCAGAGGGGGAGGGAGACTGTGGCCTGACTGGACCTCCTGCTCTGGTGGGCTCCTATGGCACCTCCCCGGAGGGCATCGGCGGCTACATCCATTCCCATCGGCCTTTGGGCCCTGGAGAGTTTGAGTCCTTCATTGATGTCTATGCCATCCGGAGTGCTGAGGGTGAGAGAGCCTGGAAATTTTAAGGGTGGGGAGGGTTGTCCCTGGGGAACAAAGACCAGGGTGGTTAGCTTTTCTTTTAAATTTTTTTTTTGTCGTAGTTAAATGAAGTTTACATTTCAAGTTAGTCTCCCGGTGGTTAGCTTTTCAAACAAGATCTGGCTGGTTCCTGGGGCAAGGGAATCGGAACTGCATTGTTGGTCTTCCTTGCCAGGAGCCCCTCAAAAGGAGGTGTATTTCATGGGTCTCATTGACATCCTGACACAGTATGATGCCAAGAAGAAAGCAGCTCATGCAGCCAAAACTGTCAAGCATGGGGTGAGGGTTCCCCAAAGCCTTTCCTTTTCTGCACCATCATCCTCTATCAGGGACCATTGGCTTGACTGTTCTTTGAGAAGAGAGAGAGCAATGGCGTGGTAGCAGGATGAAGGGTTGGGTATGGAGGGTGGGGAATAGGGAAAGGTGGTGGGGGTGACTTGACACATTGTTCCATACCTCCTCTCACAGGCTGGGGCAGAGATCTCTACTGTCCATCCTGAGCAGTACGCTAAGCGATTCCTGGATTTTATTACCAACATCTTTGCCTAAGAGACTGCCTGACTCCATGGTGACTGCTGCTTTATGTTCAAGGTGGTGGGGTTCTGAGAGGCTTGGAGGAATTGGAGATATTCTGGCCAATACTTCTTCTCTTCCTCCTTTGCTAAATTTAGGCTGCACGCTCCTTCCATCCAAATAACTCCCATTTTCTTGCATCGGCTCTTCCTGGCCCTCAGAAATACATTGTCCTTTCTCCCCTCTTTCCCTCCACCCAGTAAGTCTGTTTGCTTCATTAGGGTGTTATTGTTGACTCTCCCAAGTGCCTTGATCTTTGTAAAGTGTCCTGTTGTTTCTATAAAAGAGGAGGAGCTGAGGGAAGGGGGTCGTTTGCCATCTTGAGAACCTGACTGTACAGATGGACCTGGTTCAAGCAACTACTCTGGATGCACTTTGCTGTGTGGGATGAACTAAGAGTGTCTGAATTTTGCTGATAACTTTATAGAACTCACTGTGGCATGCTTCCATTCTGGTAGGCCCTGGGATGGAGAACTTTCAAGATACAGATGTGGGTGCAGGCATGCATACATATGATGAAATATGGCCAATCTTGTACACAGAGGTGGGGTGAAGAGTCGTCAGCAGGCTGGCTCCTCATGGACGTGGGACCTAAGAGGACTTTTGGGATTATGCAGGGAGTGGGAGAGGATCTCTACCAAGGATTGACTGCTCTCTTCCCTCAGCCCACTTCCAGCCCCACCCACCTGTACTTCTGGGCGCAGGAGCCCAGAGCTGGCCAAAGTGTTGAAGCCTGGGTGAAGGTGTTTAACTGTTGCTGCTCTTCACCAAAGCCTCACATCCTTTCTGGGGCTGGAACCCTTTAGTGGGTGTGTGGCCAGTTCTGGAGACTGGGATGAAGGGCTAGGGATGTGAGGTTCATTCCCCATAGTAAGTTTTCTTTCTTCCTTTTTAGCTATCCTTGTGGTTTATTTCCAGCAGAAGGGAATTTCCCCACCTGGGTCAATCCTGGTCATTTCAAGAGGATGGAGGTCTCAAGTGTAGGAACCTCCCCTACTCCCTGGAGGTGTGTGCCTAGCACACTTCTCTTCCCCACCCCTCTCAAACTCTTTTCCCAGTTGGATTTGTCGTTGTTTTCTGTCCTGTCTTACACTGCTATTGTGTCTCCCAGGGGACAGATGGCCTTCTTTGTCATCTTTACTCTCCACCCCCAGAGAGGAGTCAGAGCCATAACTCAGTCACCCCCTCCCTAAAGATAGCTGATGTGTGACATTCTCAGAATATAGAGAACCCTGATGAGATAAGTTGTGCCCCCTCCCCCAATGCCTTTGGGTCTAAGGCAACCATTCTTGCTATTCTTTATCCCCCTTGAGGCTTCTATATTTTTCTAACATAAAGATGAGTACCTGGCCCGTGGAGACGCAAAGCTTCTTTGCTCTGTATCTGGCTGGGCTTACCTGTCTCACAAGAAGTCCTAAGGGAGAATCCCTCTCTTCCCTCCATCTTCTGTTCCAAAGGAGGAAACAAGAGGAATCCCCAGTCAGGGGTTGGAGCCTCTATAGTATCTTCCTGTCAGGGGCTTGATGGATCTTTTTCATTCCAATCGTCTACCTTTCCCCTGTTGAATGCAATAAGACTCCATGACACCAGCAACTATTGTTCTTTAGAAATGGGTTTTCTGACCATGTGGCTGATGTATCATGGGCAGTGTGGTCTTCATTTGTTGCTTCTATTTTTCATTTTTGTTGTTTTATTAATAAAAAAGATCTTGTGTATTTACTCCTATTGCTGTCACAACATAGAAAATAAATTATTGTATCCAAAATCCTTAACAGAAAATGCCTTTTTTTTTTTCCTTTCCTTTTCTGAGGAAGCATACCCTTAGGGGTGCAAAGACTGGATGAAAAATTCTTGCCTTCAAGGTGTGGGCACCTAACTAAGGACATGGGTTTCTAGACAGAGATGGCTGGGAACTTAAAGGTTGTATGGGGGCACTGGTAGCATAGGGATAGAAAACTATTTCTTCCCCAACTTCATGGCATGGAGTTCAGCCATAGTAGGGGCCAGAGAAAACAGATGATGCGGCCCCCCCAGGGCTTAGGGCTTGTTCACACTCACAACTACATTAAGGTGAATGGGCCTCAGCCCGCAAGCTAAATTAAAAGAGAAACTGAATTCAGTGTTCTTACAGGCTCCCTGGGAAATGATCTCTGCCTGCAAGGGTACAGGAAGGGTCCTGGGAAAGTGAAGGAGAAAGTGACCAGCCCTCTAGCCTAGAGGGGGAGGGGAGAAGGGGGTAGATGAACAGAGGTTATTGCCAGTCTGGGAGATCAAGTACTTCTTGGCTGAGGAGGTCTTTTGGCTGGTGGAGAAACCTGGCTTGATGTGGCCCCAGGGAAGTGAGTTGGGACGGGGGCGGAGACTGCTCTGATGTGGGAAGCAGAGCGGAGGTTTTTTTTTCCTGAGAGTTTTTAACTCTATTTGAACCATAGACTTGAGGCCACCACAACCCCAAGCCATTTTTAAAAATAAATCCACTTCCCATACTGCACCACACTCGGTATCCCCAGTTGTGAAAAAAGAAAAATCTGAGGCACTTAACAATATCCATCTGGGAGCCGGTTGTGTGTGTGTGGAGGGGTGGGGATGGGGGGAGAGGGGGTCTCAGAAGGTTACAATCTAGGAAGAGGCAAGAGATGAAAGGATGAAATCATTTAGCACTGGGGTTTGTTTACTTTTTAGAACCAATGCTTTTCCTTTTACTATGATTCTTCTTCCCATCCCACATTGTTCCTCAAAGGCCCTTCTGGCTTAAGGGTTTCAGAAACTGCCCCCACTCCATCCCTATATACCTATACCGACACTCCCCACCCATCTAGCCACCACCAGCTCAGAGAAGCTGCTGTGCAGCTGGTTGAGAAAGAAAAAGGAGGGGGCTCCTCCCTAGAGGGGGAAATGAGAAGGCCGGCGGCGGCGGCGTCTCTAAGGGATTTAACCTCCTACCCTCAGTTACACGACGCCGCCCCCTCCCTCCAAAGACTGGGAGGTGCCTCCATTTTTGTTCTGGGGTGGAGGGACTGGGGCTCCTGGATCGAAAGGGTCAAAGAAAACGGTGATTATCACCTGTGAGGGGGAATGGGGGTGAATCCTCCCTCCTTTCCTTTCAGCCTCACCCCCTGCGACTCTCCCCACCTTTTCGGGGTCTCCCCCCCTTGTTGCTAAGGCCCGGACCGTCATCCCAGCAACAGCCTCAGTCATGTGACCGGCAATGGCGGCGCTGACGAGAGGTAGGTGAGTCCGGCGTCCCCCACACCCACGGTGCGCCCCCCAGACCCCGCTCGCGCCCCCGCGCGCCCCCCGCCCCTCCGCGCCCCCTCCTTCGCCCCTTCCCCCTGGTGCGGCTCCGGGGGGGCCCTCCATGCCCCGCCAATCCTCTTTTCACCATCCTCCAGCCTTGGCCTCCATTTGAGAGGTTCTGGGCGCCGCGATCGGGCCGACATGCACCCTCACCCAGCGGTGGGTTTCCCGGGCCTCGAGCAAAAGAGAGAGATGTGGGGGGTTGGTTCCACGTCGGATCTTGGTGGAGGCCGTGGGGAGAGGGGTGGCGCTGACTCAGTGGATGCCCCCAGGGACCCTTGCCCTTTCTGACGGCCCCTTCCACCAGCATCTGTCGGGAGGGAAGGACTGACCCGGTGTCCGTCCTGGGTGGCCCCAGAGGAATCACAGATCCAGCATAAACTGGCCCCGCCTCCCTTTTCTGTGCCAGCAGGACTTGGAGCTAGGACACCTAGGTCCTGGGTCCTCTCTGATGGAGGGGGTGGGTTTCCACTCTGGATACAGTGGGGACTGAGGTCCCAGGGTTGGAGTTTCACTTCCGAGTGTCCAGGTGAATCTGGCCTTGAGGGGACTATGATGGAGGCACAAACGGACAGCCGCTCCCCTTTCCATCAGTCAAAGAATTGAGGTCACGTTAATGGTTCCTCTTTCCATTGGAGCTGCATTTGAAGGTTTGGGGACAGCCCTGCAGCTGAATATGACAAGACTCGGGGAACATCAGGCCCCTCCAGTGGATCCCCTGTGTGAGCCCCACCCCTGCTAAATGCAGACTAGAGAGCTAACAGGCTGTGTGCTGTGATGCGTGTGCTGGGTTTAAAAGGCGACAATGAGAACTTTGTTATTGCAGGGGCTGTGGCCACTTTGTTCGCATTCCTAACAGACTTCAACAGAAGGGACTGAGGTTAAGGCTTAAGGAAGGCTTTCTGGCTGTAGGGGCTGGATGATTTGGGAATGTGGAGCAGGGTGAGGAGTTGGGGAGCAGAGGAAATACTCCTGTCGCAGGTGGCAAGAAAAATCTCCATCTGTGTAGGCTTTTCCCTTCCAGACTATTATCTGCCCTAGAGCTGGAAAGAAAAGCTGGAAGGTTAGCATGAGCAGTCCCTTCCTTAGCAGCTTGAGGAGAGAGAGCCTGTGGATGGAGTTAGGCAGGCAAGAGGGAGATGAAATAGAAGAGTTGAGTTTTGGTTTTGTTTTTAGGTTGGCTGGGGAAAATGTTAACACCTGCCATCATAACCCTTTACTCTCCCCTAGTCCTGGTCAGCTGAGTGTGGAAATAGAGCGATTTCTGCTGTCACCGTTGTCCATGGACTTTCCAGGTACCTGCCCCAAGGGAACTTCAACTTTCATCCTTAAATTAGTTCCCTCCATTCCACGTTCTAAGTAATCCTATGCCCAGTGACCTACACTCAGGTTCTTGTCTCTGTTACATGGGCTGCCGGGTTGGGGTATGTGGGGATTGGGGGAAGGGGTTTCTTATTTTCCTTCCTTTTCCTTTCCACCCCACCAGGTCATACAACCCACAAGTAGGGAGCAGGGAAAGAGAGAGAAAGCCTGCATGCCATTTCTAAGCTCTTCAGGATCAAAGTGAGCAAAAGGGAGGGTTAAAAAGTCTCCCTCCCCTTTGAAGAGCCCATTTTTCACTCTGGGGGTGGGGGATGGGGACAGTTGTTTCTGTGATCATAGGGAAGGAGAACCTAGACTGATTCTAGGCTAAGACGATAGTTATAGGAACTTTCTTGTTCTTCCGGGGGGTGCTGTGGTTTGGAAGATAACGGGAAGACAGAAAATGAATTGGGGGGAGAGTTAGGGGGTGGATTTGAGAGAAAGGAGGCAATAAAGGATTTGAAAGGAACCTGAAGTAGGAGGCACTGATATTTGTCAAATGGGGACCCCCCCACCCTGAGTCCCTTTCACCCTGGGGGCAGTGTCGTTCGTCCTGTCCAGAATGGCAGCCTGTGGAGGCACCTGCAAGAACAAAGTGACTGTCTCCAAGCCTGTGTGGGACTTCCTGAGCAAGGAGACCCCAGCGCGGCTGGCCAGGCTTCGGGAGGAGCATCGTGTGGCCATCCTCATAGATGGCGAGACTTCTGACATCTATGTTCTCCAGCTTTCCCCACAGGGCCCGCCCCCGGCCCCTCCCAATGGGCTCTATCTGGCCCGGAAGGCTCTCAAGGGGCTGTTAAAAGAGGCAGAGAAAGAGCTGAAGAAAGCTCAGAGGCAGGGGGAGCTTATGGGCTGCCTGGCTTTTGGGGGTGGGGGAGAGCACCCTGAGCTGCACCGCCCAGGCCCACCCCCTCTCCGAGCAGCCCCGCTCCTGCCCCCAGGGGCGCGAGGGATTCTCCCTCCTCCCCCTCCCCTGCCTCCCCCTCTTCCTCCCCGCCTTCGGGAGGAGGCAGAAGAGCAGGAGAGCACCTGTCCCATCTGTCTGGGGGAGATCCAGAATGCCAAGACATTGGAGAAATGCCGGCACTCATTCTGCGAGGGCTGCATCACCCGGGCCTTGCAGGTGAAAAAGGCCTGCCCCATGTGCGGCCGCTTCTATGGGCAGCTGGTGGGCAACCAGCCCCAGAACGGGCGGATGCTGGTCTCTAAGGACGCCACCCTCCTACTGCCCAGCTATGAGAAGTACGGCACCATTGTCATCCAGTATGTCTTCCCGCCCGGTGTCCAAGGGGTAAGAAGACCACAGCCTGCCCTTACCCTTTGGTTTTCCCCAAGCTCATTCTCTGACCTAGAAAGACTGGGTGAGGGTGTGTTTGTTAGATACGATATAGTCTTGCTGTTTCCCAGTATGACTTCTATTCAGTGCCTTGAAGCTAGGAGGTCCCCTTGAGGCTCAGTTTTTCCATCCCCACAACCCCAAGGCACACATGAAAATCAGGTATGATGAGAGGAGGGAATTGACTACTATTTCCTTTATGAACCTGGATGATGACAAATATTCTTGGCAAGGGTGAATTTTGTGGAGATCTGGCTCAGGTGCAGGCAGGCATAGTATCTGGCTGGGAGTGTTTAGTCTGTTTCTGATTTACCATTTACATGGTGAAGAGCCTACAGGTGCCTTCCTTCCAGACAAAAAGTCATGTTCAGTTCTAGTTTGCAGAGGGATGAGTACTAGTAAAATGGAACAGGTTAGACAGTGGAAGAAGCATTGGGAGTGTTTTCAGGTGGATAAGGGAAGGCTGAAAGAGACATTCTTAGTCTTCATATTTCTGCTGAGTTATCTGGAGAGTAAGGAACAGCTACCTTCCATCACTTCTGAGAATCTATCACTTAAGAAATTGGGACTTGAGGGATTGAGACAGCAGAAAGAACCTCTTAGTAAGGATTAAGCTATAAACAGGCTCCCGATGCCCAGGCCCCAGAGTCCTTCCTTCCCTGGGAGGCTGTCAGCCTGTTGCTGCCCTGTCAGCAACAGCTAGGGGTGCACAGACAGACAGACAGCCAGGGTGACCCTTCATTGGAATCATGGGCCCTAGGATATCCAGCTGCTCACTGCCCACTCTGCTTCCCCTTCCTCCCAGGCTGAACATCCAAACCCAGGTGTTCGGTATCCTGGCACCACACGGGTGGCCTACCTCCCTGACTGCCCTGAGGGCAACAAGGTGCTGACCCTGTTCCGAAAGGCATTTGACCAGCGTCTCACCTTCACTATCGGCACGTCCATGACCACAGGGAGACCGAATGTCATCACCTGGAACGACATCCACCACAAGACCAGCTGCACAGGGGGACCGCAGCTGTGCGAAACCCCTTCATTTCCTTTCCCTAAGCTCCTCCCCCTTGACGCATGTCCACTGAGGGAGCAACATCATGTCCATCACTCTGGGAGCCTCCTAACTGGAGAGGACCACCCCCCAAACTGTTCGACCATCTGTCCCATCCCGCTTTCTCTAACATTCAACCTGGTCCTGTGTGCCCAGCTTAATCTACAAAAATAAGCAGAATTGGGATAGGTCATCTTGGGTTTAGAGGTTCTTCCCCCTAACAGGAGGTGGGGAAGGGTCTGAATGGGGCCTCCACTGAGTCACTCAGAATGAGGGTGAGCATGGGATAATATGAGCAAGCTCAAACAGCGAACCCTGACCCTCATTTCTTTTTGCTCTCAGGTTTGGGTACCCAGACCCCACCTACCTGACCCGGGTGCAAGAGGAACTGAGAGCCAAGGGTATCACCGATGACTGAAGGACATACCCTTTGCCAAGGCCCCTGCTGTCGTCCTCCACTAGGACCCAATGGAAGCCTCTGTTCTCTTCTCTTCCCCTGCCCCCCCCAAACCATACTAGTAGGGGACCTGTCTGACTGGGAAGGGAGTTCAGAGGGGGAGGGGGCAGTCGTCCCCTGTCCCCCATTGGCCAAGTGCTTCAGTGCAGTGTGAGCCACTCCCTCCTGGCAGAGGCTGATCTCCAAGGCTCTGCTTGCAGCCCCCACCCCCATGTACATACTTCCAGTTTTCCTGCCCGCTCCATTGCCCTTGGCTTTTCTGGTATGTGCTGTGCTCCAGTGACAAAGCTGAGAAAGGACCTGGGTGGGGAGGGGGGCTCTCTTGACATCCCCCTCCTCTATGAACTTCTGTGCCGGTGAGGGGGAATCTGTTGGTGTGAGCCCCGTGGAGCCGGCTGTGTGTGTTCATCAGATACAATTCTCCTTGTACCTTAACTATGTCGTTTCTCTGTGTGTCTGTCTCGTTATCAGTCTGTCTTCCGCTCTTCTCTGCCCCCCTCTCCCCTGAATACGGAGCCTCCTTACCCTGTTCTGGAATCACCGCCAGACTGTAGCTTTTAATTTAATAAAAATAAAGTAAAATATGCAACTCTATGCCACACTCGTTCTGTTCTGGACGGGGGTGGGGATGGCGTGGGGATGAAGGCCTGCTGAGAAGGGGAAGAGGGGCGATAGGGAAATCCCTGTGTCCTTTCCCGGTGTTTCTGCCTCCTGAAGGCCTGGGAAGACGGGATATGCTTAGTGGGATCTATAAAAACACAGCGGAGCCCTGGGTCACGCTTCGACGTTGGAAGCAGGATTAAGAGGGGTTGGTTTGTTGTTGAACTATAGTTGTAGAGAAAGGAACAACCCTACCCCTCTAGCGAAGTTTTGGCTGGGGTGGGAGTGAGGGCGGAGCCGGGCAGGGGGGCGGATTCAGCAGCAGCAACTCCCCGGACGCACGCAGTCCTCAGAGCCCCCCAGCTTCCGTGCCCCCTCGGCCCTGGAACTTGGAGCAAAGTAGGGGTCCAGCATGAAGCCCCCAGACCGCCCGGTCCCTGGCCGCACTGAGCGGATACTGGGGGTCATGGGGGGCATGCTCCGCGCATGCGCCCTACCCGGGCAGGAGGGGGTAAGAAAGGGGGATCGCGGTGGGGTTGGGGGTCTTTAGGAGCGTTCAGGAGGGCTGCACCCCACAACTCAGTTTACCCACAAACAGGAGTCCTGCGGTAAATCGCAGGAATCCGTGACTTCCTTTACAAGGGCCATAGGCACGCTCGGGGTGAAACGCTCCCTCCACCCCAGCTTGGCGACCCTTGCATAACAATGTGGGTTTTGACAGGAGAGAGAAGGAGAAGCGGGAAGTACAGCTGGGCATAGAGGGCGGGTTCCTTACGGTCCTTCTGTCCCCGCAGCCCCCGAAGAGAAGCCCCCTAGGGCTGGGGGGTCCTGAGCCAGAGTCTGACCGTACCGAGGGGGATCAGAGAGGGGAGCGCGAGCGCGAAGCCCCAGCCTGGGCTCGGCAGCCCGGTAAGAAGCTGGGGGTAGGGTGGGGCACAGTTTGCCATCCTGCGCAAAGTGGCGAATTCAAAAATATTCTACTCTTATTAGCATAAGGGTTTGCATCTAATTTGCATGAGACCCATTTAATCGCAGAGACCTCTCCGCTTCTTCTTGCCCTCTAGTCTGATGTGTGTCCCCCACCCAGCCGGTCCCGAGCCCCCGCAGGCGGAGTGTCTCCGCGCCCCACCCCTGGCCCCTCGCCAGCCGGGCCTCCAGGACTTCGCCTTAATTGGTGATTAGCCTCAGCTGGAGTCCCGGGGCCTGGAGGGAAGAAGGGTCCGGCGAGAGGGCGGCACCTGGGCTGTGTTCTCCACAAAGAGCTCCCCACACACGCACCCCCTACCTAGGGGGCCTTTTCCTCCCTCGCACGGCCAGGGACAGCCCTAACGCCAGGACACCTTCACACTGTCCGAGACCGCATCCCCAGGACCCTTCTCCACTGCAGAGACCGAGGGGCGACCCGGGCAGAACCCGCCGCCTGGCTTAGCCCCCATTCCAGCGCACCGCAATCCAGATGCAGGAGGGAGGGGGACCCGGCCGGGGGAGCTCAGTCTGGGGAGGAGGGGCGGAGGCGCTGGGGACGTGGAGTGGGAACTTGGCTGTGCCTATGGGAGGGGGAATTGGGGCGGCAACCCCGCACTGGCTGGTGGGGGAACGCGGGGGAGAGGGCGGAGCTGGGCCGCAGAGGCCCCTCCCCGCGGCGGCACCGCGGCCCGGCCTGTTATTCCACTAGCGGCTCGGCCCGGACCCGCGCAGCGCCAGTGGTTCGGGGAGTAGGCCCCCGCCTTCTCCCTCGCCCGGGCCTAGAGCCACCCCCAACCTGAGAGGCCAGAGACGAGGCTGGAGCTGCTGCCGCATCCCGGCCCAGCCTTCCCCAACATCCCTCTCCCCGGCTGGACATCTGGACTGTGGGCCCCGCACCGAGAGGGTTCCGGAAACCCTCCCCGCCCAGCTCCGCGGGCCGGGCCCCGCACCGCCCCGTCTCCAGAGCCCCGCGCCCTTCTCCAGAGCAGACTTCCGCCCACCCCTGGCCGCCCCCTCTCTGTCCCCTCCTCCCCCAGCCTGGACAGGGGTAGGAGGGAGGGGGTGTGTGCGCCCTGCGCCGTCCCCGCCCCGCCCCCCGTGATTCCCCCTGCATGGCCGGCCCGGGTGGGGGACGCGGGGGGGCCCGGGCGCCATGCGAGGGGGGCACAAGGGGGGTCGCTGTGCCTGTCCCCATGTGATCCGAAAAGTGCTGGCAAAATGCGGCTGCTGCTTCGCCCCGGGGGGACGTGGTGAGTGCGAGGTCGGAGAGGCCCAGTGTTGAGCGGGGCGCGGGCTGGGGGTTCAGGTTTGCCCTGGCCCTAGGGATTTAGGATCTGGAGATTGTGCGTGCGTCTTCCAGGAAAGTGGCTTAATACATTATTTCTAAGGTTCCTTCTGCCACCAAATTTCTATTGGTTCAAGTTAAGAAAATAGGGGAAGGGGCAGGGGATTCATCTCTTCACCATCATCAACTGGGTATGAGAAAAACCCTCTCCCCAAACCCCATAGGCCTAGAACTGCTATCTTTCCTCAAATCCTTTTGCCAAGAGTCTACTTCAGATCTGAAGAGGGACAGGGGGATGGAAGAATGAGGAATAAGGGAGTCTATGAGGGGCTTTATAATGAAGGGCAGCTCATCTGCCCCAGAGCCCAGGCCAGAAATAATCCTGATGAGCTCCCCTCACTTGGCCCCTCTATTGGGCTTGTGCATGCCTTGGGGAAGTGGGCTGCGGAAGTCTTTTCTTTTTATAGTGATTACTGCAAATGTCAGAGGAGGGGTCTGGGGGTGGCAGATGGACTCAGCTCTTTTCTCTGCCCCCACTTCCCAGAGAATGGTCTGTACCCATTGGAAGGGGGAGGGTTGTGGGAGAGCAGATGGCCACCCCCAGCTTCCAGTGTCTGCCCAGATGGCTGCCCCCACCCCCATATATGTGCCATGCTCAGGATATGGGGGAACCTCCACATGTACCTGAGAGTTCCAGGCCTGGGGAGCCAGGTGTTTACTGTTCTTCCTCCCGAGGGTGCCTCGGTGAAATTTTCTGTCCTGACCAACTCAAACAAGAATAGCAGATAGTAAGCCCTGGGGGAGAAGGATTGAGTATTATGGGGAGGAAACCCTGGGAACTCCATGGGGACCCTGAGTCTGGAGCTGGACCAATGTTGGTATCTATCACTTCCTTCCCTTTCTAACCCCCACCAGAATCCTATTCTATTGCTGGCAGTGAGGGGAGTATCTCAGCTTCAGCTGCCTCGGGTCTGGCTGCCCCCTCCGGCCCCAGCTCTGGCCTCAGCTCTGGCCCCTGTTCCCCGGGCCCTCCAGGGCCAGTGAGTGGCCTGAGGAGATGGTTGGATCATTCCAAACATTGTCTCAGTGTGGAAACTGAAACGGATGGTGGCCAAGCAGGACCATATGAGGTGAGCAGGTAGTATTCCAGAAGCATGTAAATAGAGAGGGACACTGGGAGAGAGGGTAAGTTGTATCCACTGGTCAGTGGGGAAACCCAGCTACTGTTCCTGACCTCTGGCCCCCAGAACTGGATGCTGGAGCCAGCTCTAGCCACAGGAGAGGAGCTGCCAGAACTGACCCTGCTGACCACATTGTTGGAGAGCCCTGGAGACAAGACTCAGGTATGAAGAAATGGGTCTGGAAGGCTCCCTTCACCCAGGAGGCATCCCTTTTGCTTACCCTAGGATGCTCTTTCCTTCCAGCCAGCTGAGGAGGAGACTGCTTCCCAGGCCTCTGAGAGTGAGGAGGAGCAGAAGAAGGTGGCTCTGGAAAGGAGTATGTAAGTGCCCTTTCCCTCCCATTGCACAATTTCCAGAAGATTCTCCCTCACACTTTAGACCTGAGACTAGAAATCCCCTCTGAGGTTAACTCCATGGAGATGAAGGAAGAAGAGGGGTTTCTAATCCATGTAGGAGGAACCAGCCAAACCAAGGATGTGCTCAGACTCTGAAGTCAGGATGTCTTCCTGTTCTTTTCCTAGGTATGTCCTGAGTGAACTGGTAGAGACAGAGAAAATGTATGTGGAGGACTTGGGGCAGATTGTGGAGGTAGCTCCCTTTAACCTTTCCCAGCCCAGGCCCACCTGCCCTTTCCCTCTGCTCAGGTCTATTTTTAGATGTCTTGGTGCTCTTCTGTTCCAACCTCCCAGTCCCCTCCCCCCCATCCTGGTCCTGGAGGGGGGGGGGTTCTTCCACGAGGATTGACCCCCCACGCTCTCACTCCAACCTTCCGACAGGGTTACATGGCCACCATGGCTGCTCAGGGGGTCCCCGAGAGTCTTCGAGGCCGTGACAGGATTGTGTTTGGGAACATTCAGCAAATCTACGAGTGGCACCGAGAGTGAGTGGTAGGGCCCCTAGAGTGAAGGGCTTGGGAGGGGCTCACATCTGGTCCTCTCTGTATCACCCCCAGCCTAAGGAGGAACCTAGAACAGAAGACTGAACATTTGGAGGGGCTTGATGGGAGGAGCACTGCTAGCGCAGACAGCTTGAAATTAGGCCTGTGTGGGGGGCAAGTCCGAAATGTATTTGACCTCCCTTTTCCCTGCCAACCCCTCCAGCTATTTCCTGCAGGAGCTGCAGAAGTGTTTGGAGGATCCTGATTGGCTGGCTCAGCTATTCATCAAACATGTGAGCTTCGAGGGGGTGGGACTTAGGAGGGGCGGGGCTTGGGAGTGGGTCAGGGCTATGTGGAGCTTTGCCCTGTCTCCTAGCCGACCCTACTCTCTCACACTTTACCTTTGCCCTCTTAAGGAGCGTCGGCTGCATATGTATGTGGTGTACTGCCAGAATAAGCCTAAGTCAGAGCATGTGGTGTCAGAGTTTGGGGACAGCTACTTTGAGGTCAGTGGCTGAGGTGCTTTTGGGGGAAGGGGACAGAATCAGCATGAGCACTTGGTCCAAGCTGCGTAAGTACACTCACCCTGTCTCCAGGAGCTTCGGCAGCAGCTGGGGCACCGCCTGCAGCTCAACGACCTCCTCATCAAACCCGTGCAGCGAATCATGAAATACCAGCTGCTGCTCAAGGTCAGGACCACCTTTTCCTGGGTGGCGCAGCTGGCTGGGAGAGCCTTCTTCTCATTTATCTCCTCAGGGTTCCTAAGGCTCCCCAGACCTCCTGGGGGTCTCCACTTGTGTCCTTAAGGGGAGGATGTAAGAGCTTCTGAGGAGGTCCTCATGACCTCCCTGAGCATTTCTTCTCCCTGTCTTAGGATTTTCTCAAGTATTATAGCAGAGCTGGGATGGATACTGAAGAACTGCAGGTGAGGACCCCCAGATCTCCCAGGACACACCGTGTATACATTCTCTTAGCCTTATGGGTTCTCCCAGCCCTTTGGGTAGTTTAGAGCTGTGCTGGCTTTTAGAGGAGGCTGGTTGGTGTCAAGACATGGTTTTAAGAGGCAGTTGGCTGAGGAAAGAGGCCTCTTTCCCTACAATGATGATGCTCCTCTCTTCACCTGCAAACCAGCGAGCTGTGGAGGTCATGTGCTTCGTGCCCAAGCGCTGCAATGACATGATGACTCTGGGAAGACTACGGGGCTTTGAGGTACTGGTGGGACTGGAAACTGGAGGCCCAGTGCTCCAGTCTGCCCCAGTCTTAGCATTCTGAGGTCCTATGGGAATTGTCCTCTCCTGGAGCTGACCCCATGGTTGGTTGGGAGTGTCAGGGGAGGGAGAAAAGGAGGAGCAGAGAGTTGCCCCTTTTCCCTCCTCATTCTTTCTTGAAGACCACTATGTCCTTTGGTTCTAGGGCAAACTGACTGCTCAGGGAAAGCTCTTGGGCCACGACACATTCTGGGTCACGGAGCCGGAGGCTGGGGGGCTGCTCTCTTCCCGGGGCCGAGAGAGGCGTGTCTTCCTCTTTGAGCAAATCATCATCTTCAGCGAGGCCCTGGGAGGAGGAGTTAGAGGTGGAACGCAGCCTGGATATGTGTATAAGAGCAGCATCAAGGTGGGGAGGGGGCCGGGAGGGAGGGCTGACTGGGATGGGGTGAGGCCCTCAGCGAGGATGTCTGGCTCTTGGATTTGTTGGAGGCAGCAGGAACCAGAGAAGATTCTGGAGGCTATCTCCTATTTACTAATTCAGGTGAGCTGCCTGGGGCTGGAGGGGAACCTTCAGGGTGATTCTTGCCGCTTTGCCCTGACCTCCAGAGGGCCAGCGGGTGGGATCCAGCGCTATGTCCTGCAAGCCACAGACCCTGCAGTCAGCCAGGCCTGGATCAAGCAAGTGGCCCAGATACTGGAAAGCCAGCGGGACTTTCTCAATGGTGAGGCTCATCCTTCCTCCCCAACAAGCCCCTTCAGCCCTTTGACCTCCTGAATCCTTCACTACCCAAATCTCCAGCCCCTGCCCTCTGATCCTGGTGCTTCTCTCAGGACCCCATCCTCACTTTTTGACTACCAGATCAAAATTTGGTAGTTTAGAATTCCCTGAAGCTCCATGGGATTTACATTACTGCTAGTCCTTGGGAGCGGGCATAAAATGGGAGGGTGGCATGAGCAGAGCCCTTAGGGAAGGGGCCTGTCTCTGCTCTAACCCTCCTTCCAATCTTCTGTTTGCCCCAGCATTGCAGTCACCCATCGAGTACCAGAGACGGGAGAGCCAGACCAACAGCCTGGGGCGGCCAGGAGGGCCTGGAGTGGGGAGCCCTGGGAGACCTAGGCCTGTAGACCAGGCCCAGGTCAGCGCACACACCCCCATCAATGGCTCACTCCCCTCCCTGCTGCTGTTGCCCGAAGGGGAAATGGCCAGAGCCCCCCTACCCCTAGACACACAGGTATGAGAAATGGGATTCCCTGGTTGTGGGGGTACAATGGGGAGAGCCTCTCTTGTTCTTGTTCTGAGATCCCCAAGTCCCCCTCCCCCTATATCATTCCTTTCTTCCACCACCATCCTTTTACCTGCCCCTTCCTACTTCCCATCTTTGACCCTCCCCCTCCAGTTTAACTTGGGGAGAGGCTGATGTTCTCAGATAATCTAAGCTATCTGGAAGAGGAGGTGGTTCGGCTGGGGGCTTATACTGAAAAGAGGGAGCAAGGGTGATTTCTGACCTTTTGCGACCCTCTGACTTGAGTCTTTCTTCAGACCCCCAGTAACATCCCCCAGGCTCCTCTTGACTCTCCTCCAGTCGCTCCAATTCTGAACGCCCCTCCCTGCCAGGCCAGACTTGCCAAGCTGGATGAAGATGAGCTATAACTGGTAACTGGTGAAGGCCATAAGCATGGTGCTGACTCAGCCACTCTGCTCCCCAAGGATCTTCAGGGCAACCCTTCTGACACCGCCCCGGATTTCCTTCCCTCTTGGTGTGTCTGGGAGTGGGGGGGCAAGGCTGGGAACGGTGTCAACTTGTAGGAAGGTACCTACGCCCAAAAGGACTTTCTCCCCCAAAGAACACAGGTTTCTTCAGCTCTCATCCTTCGGCATGCATCACAGGTCCCCCCAAAAGGAGGATATGTGGGTGGGTGGGAGGGCTGGGGCAAGAACCAGATAGAAATTACTGGTTTTGGTTTTGATCTTGTTTTTCCTGTTTTCTGAGAATAAAGGTTTTGTTATATCACCGAGGCTGCTGTCTTGGCACAGAGACGGCGAGGCTGTAGTTAGATGGCTTCCATAGGGTAAAGAGGCATAGAAGAGATCACTTGGCTGTAGTCATGGGAAGAGAGGTCTGAAGAAGGGCACAGGGTATAAGATAAAAGATGTTGCTATCTTTGTTCCTCACCTGCAGCTGCAGCATCTCTCAAGTCTAGACCTGAGGCCTCCTGGGGCCAGTGGAAAACCCTTTCCCTTTACCCATCCCTTCTTTTCTTCCCATCCACCCTCTATTCTAGATCCCACAGGAGAGCGCAGTGTAGTGTGACTTCCCATCATCCCCCAAAACCCAGATGCTAAAGCACAAAATGCCCAGTGTACCTTTCCTTCTAAGGCCTCCATGTTCAGCTGAGGGAGAATGAGAAGGTGGAGAGGATCCTGACGGCTGTGGCCCCTTCTTGGCTGTGGGGCTCCCAACAAGGGGCCTCCTTGTTTTTGCTGTCTGGGAGGCCATAAGCCAAGCCAGACTGAGCAGGAGATTCTTCTTCAAGCTACAGACCCAAGAATGGAGAGCCCAAAGGAGTCTTCACTCTCCCCAACTTCTGGGATAGCTCCTGGAAGAAAGAGAGCCAAACATTCAGAGATCCGTGTCCAGATGCCCTGTCCTGGGTCCTTGTGCATCTGTGTGTCTGCTGTGTCCCCTGGGCTTGGTCACGTGTACTCAGGCTTCCTCATCAGACAATGAACTGCTGGGGTGGAAAGGGTGAGGAGGAGCTGGAGCCTCCCCGTGGGCCTGAGGCCCCTCAGGCCAACAATGGGGGGAGGGATCTTTAGAGGGGGGACAGGACGTAGGGCCCCGATAAGACTTCTGGGGAACAATAGGAGGAATTGAAGAGAGGCAACCGCCCTCACCGCACCCCACCCCCAGGGCTTTGGGGTCAGGGACTAGGGAGTCAGACAGTGATGGGGAGGGATGCTGAGGATTCTCCTGAGTGGAGGAGGGGGTGGGGCAAATAGAATTCTGGGGCTCAGAACCTTTGTATTTCTTTAGGGACCCCTGGGGTTTATGAGGTGGGTGGGTGATTTCTCTGTACTTAATTTAATCACAAATGTGTTTTTGAGTGCTTTGTGAATAGTGCTTGAATGTAATAAATGCTTTCGGGTTTCTTTTTTGGCCCCTAGGAAATAAAATTCCCTATCAGTTCAACATTTCCTCGAGGCCCTGAGCTGGGAGCACAGGCCCAGCTAGTCCCAGCAGGGTTGTGGGGGTGGTGGTTCTGTCATTGTCCCTGCCCAATGCATGTTTCCCATCTTAGATTTGTGAAACTGCTGAGTCCGATACAGATACAGAGTCCCTTACACTTTCTTGTGGCCAGCGGTCCCCCATGAGGGTTTAGGTCTGTGGTGGGGAAGGGGAACCGCTGAACATTCTTGACTGCTTTTTAGCGAGCAAGGCAGCAGCTTAGAGCAAGCAAGACTCCTGACCCTAGAGGACCCAGCTGCTGGCTCCGGCCAAAGTGCAGATGCAGAAAGGAACCGGGAGTGAAGAGAGGGTTCCTCAAAGGGCTTAGGAGTGGTAAATAGCGGGTCTTGGGTGTTGAGGGTGAGGACCACTTATCTTTTGGCCTTTCCGGTGCCTTCTCTCTTCACCGCCACCCCCACAGTAGCCCCAGAGCTAGCTAGCGATCCAGCCGAGGCCGAGAGTGTCCGAGGAAACGCCTACCTTAGAGAATCCCCTCCCCAGGCCGCAACTCTCTCCTGACCGGAGAAGGCCCCCACGGCAGGTCCCCCTCCAGGGCAGGATTGGACCCAGCATAGTGGGGGCGGGGCTCAGGGCAAGCTGGCCAAGTGGTATTTAAGACTGGGAGGAGTCGGGATGGCCCAGGGCAGAATGAGTGGGATCCGGGGCGCCAGGAACTGCCCGGGCCTGGGAGAGGTTTCCGGCGTTAGGTCCCCCTTGGGCACCGGGTTCAGGAAACCTCTCACCGAGGATCGGTTCCGGCAGCTCTTCGGGGATGCAGAGGAGGAACCGGAGCTACCCGCGGAGCCCAGCTTGCCCCGGCTGCTCAGACTGTGGAGGCCACGGGCCCGCGCCTGTTCGGGGTCGGGGGCGTGGCGCCTGCTCCTGGCAAGGCTGCCTCCGCTGAGCTGGCTGCCCCGCTACCGCTGGCGGGCCTGGCTGCTCGGGGATGCTGTGGCCGGAGTGACCGTGGGCATCGTGCACGTGCCCCAGGGTGAGCGGCCCAAAGGCCAGCCTGCCAGGAACTTCCCAGGCCCGGGAGAGGGGAATCGGGCAGCGGGGCGGTGGGTTACGTCGTTGAGAGTTCGGGTAGAGGGACCTGAAATCAAGCTTGGGCTAAGGTCTACGGAGCTTGCCACCTCGGCTTGGTCAGGTCCCCACCCCCAGCTCTGCGCAATCCCCTCCCCTGCGCAATCCCGCAAGAAGTCTTGGACAGGTTCCCGCTCAGGGAACTGGAGAGGCACGACGCCTGCCCCCCCAGGACTCGGCCGACACGGATCTGTGCTCCAGTCCGCCCCACGACCTCCCACCGAGGCCCGTTAACCCCTCAGTTCCCTCAAGTGGCAGGATTTAGCGTCCCCCATCCCAGCCTCTAAGTGTGGGGTAAGGGCACTGTCCTGGATGCTGAGCACCACCCCCTGCACACACCGCAGATCTTTTTTTCCACTTCTTCCCCAGGCATGGCTTTTGCCCTCCTGTCCTCTGTGCCCCCCGTGTTCGGACTCTACACTTCTTTCTTCCCCGTCCTCATCTACACCTTGCTGGGTACTGGGAGACACTTGTCCACGGGTGAGTGACAGGAACTATTCTCCCTCTCTCTGGACTGAAAATGGACAGAGGTTTGAAACCTGCCTTCTTGTAAGCTCCTTGACTCTTACCCCCCTCTTCACCTCTCCCGCCGTCCCTAACGCCCGGGTCTCGACCCTCTGACCCGGGCAGTGCTCGCTGGGGCTGCCGAGTGATTGCAGAGAGGCGGGGATTTACTTGGACTTTTCCTTTCCGGGGAATTTGGTTAAAACGAACATCTCTGAGACTTGGAAGAGGCAGAAGAGATGAGTGAGTGGTCACCCCAAAGGAGCACGCAGTTCTCGGGGAGTCTGCATGAAGGGGCGTCGATACATTGCCGAGCAGTTTTTGATGACTGATGCTCCCACCCGTTCCGTCTCACTGCCAGTTGCCTGCTGCAGCACCGTCGTCTTCGCCCGGGCAGCGGCCCTCTGGGCGAGCGGGGTCTGACAGCAGCACACCAGCCCTAGAGCGCCGAGCCTGGACAGTGGCCGTGCCCCGGGCGGCACAGCTGATTGTCTCTGCATTTGTCCCCCACCCCATCCCCGCCCTAGGAACGTTTGCAGTACTCAGTCTCATGACGGGCTCGGCCATCGAGAGGCTTGTGCCCGAACCCCCGGGGGGAAACCTGAGCGGAATCGAGAGGGAGCGGTTGGACGCGCAGCGGGTTGGGGCGGCCGCGGCCTTGGCCTTCTGGAGTGGGGCGCTGATGGTGAGGGAGGACCCCCAGGGAGGGCCTTGGGGGATCCACGCTGGGGGCTGGGGGAGAGGGCCACGTCCCTGGCACGGGACCAGGCCGGCGAGGTGCGCCGAGAAGCTGGCGCACTGCGCTCGGCTGGTCTGCGTCTCCGCCTGTTGGTGATGGCGTTATCTTCTGGGCAGCTGGGGATGTTCGTGCTGCAGCTCGGCGTCCTGTCTACGTTCTTGTCGGAGCCGGTGGTCAAGGCACTGACCAGCGGGGCCGCGCTGCACGTACTCGTGTCCCAGCTGCCGAGCCTTTTGGGGTTGCCCCTTCCGCGCCAGATCGGCTGCTTCACTCTCTTCAAGGTGGAGGTGGAAGGACAGCGCGGGAGAGGCTACCAGCGGTCCGGGGAAGAGGGAAATACAAATAGGGAGGCAGGACGGCGGTTGTGGGGGAGAGTGGGTTACTGGGACGGAGGAAAGGGGTTGGAATCACCTGGCCTGAATGAGAGTCCCCCTACGGAGGTGGAAGCCCTGACAAAAGCCGAGACAGAGGGCCTCGCCTCGGCCAGGTGTTCGCGTTGGGGGGCGGTCGACCCTGGAGCGGGGCTGTTTGCTCACCGCTCCTGCCCACAGACGCTGGCCGTCGTGCTGACGGCGCTGCCCCGGAGCAGTCCCGCGGAACTGACCATCTCGGCGCTCAGTCTGGCGCTGCTAGTGCCGGTAAAAGAGTTGAACGCGAGATTCCGAGACAGGCTGCCCACTCCTATCCCAGGGGAAGTCGTCATGGTGAGGATGGCCCCCGCATCTCTGCCCCCTGGCCGGCAAAGACCCTGCCCACCCTCTAGCAACTGGCCAAAATGACTCCGCGGGGCCGCTGCTGCCCCCTTGTGGAAAGCAAAGGCGCCACAGTCGAAAAGTCCTGCCCATCTGTGTACGTTTCCAGGCCTCCTCTCAGAACGCTTTGATCTGCAAAAATCCTCCGAGATCTCCCACCCATACTTCCCTACTTCTCTTAAGGAACCCCCTACAGACCTCTTACTATGCCTCTTCTTCCTCCCTACAGGGCCCCCTTGCAGTCTCGCTGGCCACAACACCTCCACTCTCATCTTTCCACAGGGCCTTTAACTGTAATTCACAGTTATCTCCCTCCAACCTACAGTTCTCTTTCTTGAACTAAGTAATTGTTCTGTCTCCACAGATACCCTATATCTTCCTAGATGTAGTCCAGTCTCCCTGCTTAGAACAGCCATGATTCCTCATGCCAGCCCACTCTTACTTTCTCCTGCCCCCTGTCTCTCATAGACCCAGGTATCCACCACTCCTCTTCCAGTTCCCACATTCCTTCGCTCTAAATCCATTGTCACGCACTTATCACAAACACACCCGAGCTACCTCCGTTGCCTGGCTCCTTGGACCACCTCCTTGTGCGTTATGGTCTTCTCTTAATGCTGGGCCCCTTCTGGCTTCCACCAGGGGTCCCACCCCCCATGCCCTAATTTTCTCTATTTCCTAGGTGCTCCTGGCCTCAGTGCTTTGCTTCACGTCTTCCCTGGACACAAGATACAATGTCCAGATAGTGGGAATGCTGCCTGGAGGGTAAGAGAGAACGAAAAGGTGCCAGCTTTCCTGGTAACCCAAGCCTTTTCTGACCCAACACCTCCTCTCGTCCTGCCCGACTCTATTTTCTCTGCCTTCCCTACTCCCTGCAGCACCAAAGCCAGCCTCACCATGAATCCCTCCCTCTTCAGATTCCCTCAACCCCTCCTCCCCAACCTGACTGAGCTGCCCAGGATCCTGGCCGACTCGCTGCCCATTGCACTGGTGACTTTTGCTGTGTCAGCCTCCCTGGCCTCCATCTATGCAGACAAGTATAGCTACACTATTGACTCCAACCAGGTGTGACTCTGACTGTGGACCCCAACCTCATTCAGGAGACAACCCCTAATCTGACCTCCCTCCCTGCCTTTTTCTCTCTCCCCTTCATCTCACTGCATCCCTCCAGGAGCTATTGGCACATGGGGTCTCCAACCTCATTTCCTCCCTCTTCTCTTGCTTTCCCAACTCGGCTACCTTGGCCACGACCAGCCTATTAGTGGATGCTGGTGGGAATACACAGGTAAGAGGGCATCCTTGAATGAGGAGAAAGGGTGGGGGCATCCAGGTCGGGATGGAGAAACGGGTGGGAGACTGGTAGATACCCAGGGGGCATCTAGATAGAGCAGGATGGGAATCTGCGAGAGAGGTGCATGAGGGGATGAGATTACCTAGGTAAGCAGGATAAAAGATAAGAGTAAGGCCGGTTAAGACCCTGCCAGCTGCTCCAAGGGAGAAAAGACTTGGGGATCTGCTCCTGTAAATATTACAGCCTAGAAAACCCTATGGGGCAGTTCTACTCTGTCCTATAGGGTCGCTATGAGTTGGAATCATGGAGTGGTGTAAACCGGGTGGTGCAAACAGTTAAGCGCTCAACTGTTTCGTTGCTGTTAGGTGCCATCAAGTCAATTTCAACTCAACTCATAGCCACCCCATGTGACAGAGTAGAACTGCTCCATAGGGTTTTCCAGGCTGTAAATCTTTACAGGAGCAGATCACCAGGTCTTTCTCCCAAGGAGCCGCTGGGTGGGTTTGAACCACAGACTTTTTGGTGAGCAGCTGAGCGCTTAGCCGCTGTACCACCAGGGCTCCTAAGTGCTCAACTACTAGGCGAAAAGTTGGAGGTTCAAACTTACTCAGAGGTGCTTTCGAAGACAGGCCTTGGCAATCTGCATCCAAAAGCTCTCAGCCTTAGAAACCCTATGGAGCAGTTCTACTCTTCACTCATTCAGAACCAACTCAATGGCAGCTAGCAACAGCAGGCTCTAAGCACTGGGAGGGATTATGGCGACCATCTGTAGTCTAAAATAAAAACAATGCTAAACTGTAAAATAAATCTAAGAGACAAAATTCTCATTTTTTCCCTCGAGGATTATTTTGACGAATTCTTAAAAAGAAATATAACATATCAAAATCTCCCCGTAATATTTTTGGGTTCCCTTTCTTTCTTGGTGCCCTAAGCATGAGGTTAGCCTGCCTCTAGGGTAATCCAGAGGTGGCTTTTAAGATAGAGATAGGCTACAAAAAGAGAGAAGTTGCACTACATCTAGGGGGAGACTGGCAAACGACAGGCATTTAGCTGGGGGAAGGGGAAAGGTAGGTGTGAATGGCAGAAGATCTAGAAAGGGGTGAGGAATATCGGTTTGAGAGGCAGACTTCTGAGGGAGGGGAGGCAGCCGAGACAGGGAGGTCTGCTCTCACACTGCGGTGGGGGCGGGCTCCCTTCCTTCTCTCCTTCCCTCCCTCCTTCCCTCCAGCTGGCCGGTGTCTTCTCCTGTGTGATTGTCCTGTCAGTGCTGTTGTGGCTGGGGCCCTTCTTCTACTACCTGCCCAAGGTAAAGGGCAGAGGAGACATGACGGTGGCTTGGAGGGGTGGCTATAGACCAGGCCCTTGGGGTGGTCAGCCTGCCTCTTCTGTCTCAAGGCTGTCCTGGCCTGCATCAACATCTCCAGCATGCGCCAGATGTTCTTCCAGATGCGGGAACTTCCACAACTATGGCGCATCAGCCGCATGGACTTTGTGAGAAATGGCAGCATTACCCTCCCCATTGCCCCCTTTCCATCTTCCCGGCATCCCCAGCCTCTGCCTTGGATCAAAGCTAATTGTCCTGGTCCTGCATGCCCTTCACCCTCACCCCCACCCAACCCCTACTGCTGCAACACTCATACCTCTTAGTACCCTTTACTCAGAGACAAATTGAAGGGTGGGATTTGAATCCTCACAGATCTGAATATTTTGTAACCCCCTAGCTGGTACAAGGTCTGGGGTCATTACCTATGGTGCGTATCCCCTATTGGGCTGATCCTGTCCCTTCCTTCTGTCACTCTACCTTCTCCTGGCCTGTCCCTCTCCATCACTTGCCCTGACAGTCACTACCCCTGGACCCCTTTCCCTGGTGGTATGGCCCTGGCCCCTTCCTGCTGGGCAGTCTCCCACTCCATGTCCCGCAGGCTGTGTGGATGGTCACGTGGCTGGCTGTAGTGACCCTGAGTGTGGACCTGGGCCTGGCTGTGGGTGTGGTTTTCTCGATGATGACTGTTGTCTGCCGCACCCAGAGGTGGGAGTCGAGACGAGGGGCAGGGAGAGGTGATGCTTTGGGTGACTTCCCCAGCCAGTCTAGGCTGGGAATCTAACCCCAGTTCCCTGCCCAGGGTGCAGTGCTTGGCGCTTGGACTGGCCGAAGGGACAGAGCTCTACAGGCCACTCAGAGAGAGCCACAAGGTGTGTGGGTTATAGCCAAGGAAGGAAGGGAAGATTCCACCCGAATGTTTCTGTGACCCTCTGACTTCTTAGTTCCTCCAGGTCCCAGGGCTCTGCATCCTGAGCTATCCAACACCACTCTACTTTGGGACCCGGGGGCAGTTCCGCCGCATACTAGAGCGGCATCTGGGACTTGGAGAGAGGGACAAGGTAAGGTCAAAGAGAGTGGCTCCTCTGGGAGTGGGAGGCAGGTGGGTGTTCTGAGGGGGATCCTTGTGCTCAAAGGGTGCATGTTCATGTTTGTGTCTTCCCTAGTGCCAACTGACTGCCCTTCTCTACTCACAGGAGACTCCAAAGCCAGATGGCCCACCTGATGCAGGTGAGATGGGATGACAAGCAGGGAGATTGGAGCATGATCCATGGAAGCATCTGAGTACTCCTGCCTTCTCCCCACCTTAGTTGCTGAGCCCGTCAGAGTGGTGGTCCTTGACTGCAGTGGGGTCACCTTTGCAGATGCTGCTGGGGCCAGAGAAGTGGTACAGGTGAGGGAGAGAGTAGATTGAAGAGAAAGTCCCCTTATCATCCTGCTCAGACCCCTGACTTCAGACTTAATATCCCCCTGCCCCATCCTTGCAGCTGGCCAGCCGATGCCGAGATGCTGGGATCCACCTTCTCCTGGCTCAGTGTAACGGTGAGAGGTGTGGGTGGGTGGAAGGACCAATTGACTTGAGAATGACTGGACACTTGCGGGGAGGAAAGAGGACATGGTGTGGACTTTGGGACTGAGAGCCTGATCCCCTCCCCACACAGCCTCAGTGATGAGGACACTGACCTGGGCAGGACTCCTGGACATAGTGACCCCAGAACAGCTGTTTGTGAGTGTCCAGGATGCAGCTGCTCACGCCCTGGAGAGACTGGTGAGGGGCAACGGCAGTAGGAGTGGGAGCTAGGAGGGGGCTGGGTTTTAGCAAGTGTGGTGTCGGTTATGGCTGAAGACCCCCGGCAGAGCATTTGGGAAGGGCACTAAGGAGGGAGATCAAGGAGAAAGAGGTATGGATGAAATGATCAGGCGATTTTACAACTAAGCTGGGGAGATTGGGCCTAGCTGTGTGAAGAACTGAGAAACTAAGTTCCCAAAGTGGGTAGTGGTGCCCCCTCAGAGGACTACCAAATCTCAGGTGGGGATGGGGCTTGCCTAATTTACTCCTGACATGTCCCCTCTCTTCTCCAGGAGCTCACTGGTCCAAAAACTTGCACAGTGTGGGTCTGATCCAGTCAGTTGGAGAATGCACAGCCCCAACAACATTGTAGGGGGAGGACACAAGCCCCCTTAATTAATGTGGCTAATAAACAAAGCTGGCAGCTTCTGGGACACATGAAGTGAGTCTGGGTATTTGTACACGGACCCCTGGTGCCCTTCCTCCACGCCCACAGCATTGCAAAGACGCAACTGAGAATGGCTTTGACTGTGTTTTCACCAGCCCCCATCTCAGCTCCAGAGTCATCAGTTCTCTCCATGGGGTTGGGGCTGGAGCCAGTGCACAGAGTCCTGGATCCAGAGATGGAGTGCAGGGTACAGCCCTGGGATTACATCTGGGGGGGTTCCCCACCCACCAGTCCCAAGGAGATGAGAGCAGAGGGTTTCTACTTTAGGTTCTTAGGGTCCCCCTGGGCTCTTTGGCACTTGGAAAGCAAGCCCCCATTTCCTGCTCCATTAGAATGAGGTCTGGAGGAAGACTTGGCACTGGCTGTGGGAGAAGGTATGGCTCCATCATGCCCCTGGGCACTCTAGGAAAGGAGGGGTGTCACCCGGACAAGCCCCTGTGTGGGATTAGGTTCTGAAGATGAGGGGTGAGGGGCTGGAGGGTCGGAGACAGTCAGTCGAATGGTCACTGGGCGGTGGGGTTTGCTGGAAATTCCTGGCAGGGACGAGGAGGCAAGTCCAGCTTGATAATCAAAAGGCCCTGGGTGGCCCTCACTCCGTGGTCACGCACTGCAGCCGGTGTTTGAAGAAAAGCAGGCGGTGTTTGGCCACCTGACTTTCGTCCAGTGATCCCGGGTAGCGATACCGGGCATAAGCCTCTGACATGGCATCCCTTGACACCCAAGGAAGCTTCACCTTGGACGCATGATCCACAACGACGTCTGAGCAGGAGCCCACTTGAAGGGAACCAAGCCCATCCAGGAAGAATTCTGGTGGGAGAGGGGTACAGAGAAAGGTCCTGAGGTTGCAGAAGGCCAACCCTTAAGGGAGAACTGGGAGTTGGGGTACAGAGGGTACATATGCAAAGACTCCCTTTCTAAGGACCTTGGGCAGGTGAGTAAATTCCTCTGGATCTGTTTTACTCTTCTGTAAAATGGAATGGATATACTTGCCTTGTGCTTTGAAAACAGAAAAACTCACCCTGCACTGCCCAGAGATTAAATAAATGCCTGATTGGCTGCTCCAAGCGTGATCTGAACCAGGGGAATAGGCTTGGAAAGAGGTAGAGGTGGGGGTGACATTCGCGGGGAGGTTCACATACCCAGGAGGACCCAGCAGCTGTACTAGGGGTGGAGGTTTACATGGCATGCAGGCCGGGAGGGAATGGGAGCTGTCTCCCACAGGGAGTTCTCAGCCCCAGCGCAGGCCTCTGTACATCTTCGTAGAACCTCTCTAGGGGCTCCGAGTGGCAGCCGTGGGCTCCGTAGGTGTAGGCTAGGAAGACCGGCCCTCGCCCAGCGCCCCGTGGTGGTGGTGGTGGTGGGGGTCCCTGCGAGGCCCGACCGGGAGAGGGCGCCACTCACCCAGATGGGCTACTCGGCTGAGGCGCGGGTCGAAGCCGACCTCGCGCACCTTGTCAGTTCGCGCTAAGAAGAAGTTGACCACGCCGTCGGTGACCACGCAGCCCGGGAAGCCGACGAGCTCGTGGTGGAAGCCGCGCCTCTGCCGGAGGCAGTTCCCGCGGCCCGGCGCGCCGGGCTCCACGGTCAGCAGCTGCCGGAACGTGGTGGCGAAGCCCGAGATCTCGCGCACCGCGCCCCCGACCTGCCGACAGTGGGAAAGTGGCTCCAGACACGGCGGGACCGGAGAGGTCTGCGCCCTTCTCCCCCGGGGGCGGTTCCCCTGCCCGCCCTCTCCTGCTTCACCCCTGCAGGACCCAGACCGTCACTGGGTCCCCGCTTCTTCACGCTCCCTCGGCCCCAGGGCCTCTGTCAGCCCGCGCTCTCTCCTCTCCCCTCCCTCCCACCCCCCGCAGCCAGCTCCCCTCCCCACCAGATCCAGCGGCGTCCTCTCCAGCACGTCCACCAGTCTCTCCAGCCGCGTCCGTGCAGTGAAAACGAAATCGTCGTCCACCCATAACACGTACTTGGTGGTCACTTGGGATACGGCCAGGTTCCTGCCTGCGAACCACCCCTGGGGGACAGGCGTGTGTGGTTGGAGGAGGCTGTAGAGATAAGACATGCCCCTCTGCCCCCTTTCTTCTTCTCCCCCTGACCCATTTTGACAGCCTGTGCTTCTCTCCAAACTTTTGAGTGTTTAGGAATGGCCGGGAGCTAGGTTTTTTTTTTTTTTTTTTTTTTTTTTTTTTTTTTTTTAAAAAAAAAAGCACTCCCAGGGGTTCTAAGTCAGTGTTCTGGGGAATGGTCCTCGAATGCATTCATTCATTTATTCACTCATGTGTGCACTGATTCATCAACTATTTCTTGAGTGCCCACTAGGTGTTAGGCAGTATTCTAAGGATGCAGCAGCGAACAAGATAGGCACGATTCTTGTTCCCACCGAGCTTACATTCCAGGAATCCGCGTGCCTAGCAGGCACCCCAGTGATTCTGAGACAGATGGAGGCTGCAGACTGACCGCACGCCCCTCCCACAGCCCCCTGTGCCGCCCGACCTCGCTGGTTTCGCACCTTGCCAAAGGGCATGACATAGTGCTCGATATGTGGGCCGCTGACGAGCTCCGGCTTCTCGCTGTCGTCAGCGATGACCACGGTGACCGTCGGGTAGAAGCGGCGGATGCTGGCGATGAGAACCCGTAGCCGGTCATAACGAAGGAAAGTCTTGGTGGCAATGGTAACCAGAGCGCTGATGTCGTACTGGGCTGGGAGTGAGGGCGCAGGGGTGGGTGCAGATAAGGAGGATAGAGAGGGTGAGGAACATGAAGACATCCCCTCCTAGGGCCGTCCCCTCCCAATTTGCCCCCACAGAGTTGGATCTAGGTTCCTGCCCCTACCAGCCTCACCTCCCTGGGGTAGAGCCCCAGGCGGGTACAGCCGCGGGTTGGGCGGGTGTCTGATGCGGATGGTGAAGGCAGCCTCGTGTCCCTCAGTGGAGAACCGGACTGTGAAGACAGAACATGGCGAGGGGAAAGGACATGGGGAGTGCCCTTAAGCCTGGGGCAGCCTTCTCTAGTCAGTCACCCAATATGTTTAAGTGCCTACTCCGTGTTCAGCTTTTCTAGGTCTTGGTGGACAAGAACACAAGGTCCTTATCTCTATGGAGCTTACGTGCTAAACGGATGGGAGAAGGACAAACAAGTTTTTAATTAAAAGCAAACCTTTATTGAGTATTTACTACGTGCCAGGCACTTTTAAAATTACCTGATACGCATTTACTCATTTAATCCTCACGACAGCGCTGTTAAATAGATTCCTACTACAGAAAAAGAAACCAAGGCACAGAGAAGTTAACCCTTTCATGCCCGATGGTACATACAGTGACCATGAACTTTTTCAGCCTCTGGGTTTATTGGGAAGCTGCTGTACCATTGAGAGTGCATGCTGCCAGAGGGCAGGGGCCTTTATGACTGTTTGAAACTGAAGAAATGGGCATGTGCTGCACAGTACTGTTTTTACAGGGTATTGTATGAGGAGCCTAAAGTTTTGGTAGGAAAAATAGAAATTTTGAAAATTTTTATTTGTTACACATATGTACCAATAGACCCCGGTGGGGACTCTAGAGTGTAATGAGTGGTACTTCATACGCATCACTAAACACTTAGGGTAGGCTTGTGGGGGGCGGCAAGAAAAAAAATCCATACTACCTACCAAAAATTCAGACACACTCAATGATTTAGCATGCTTCCATGAATGAATATACATGGTATCAACAAAAATATCAACCCAAAGGTTGGCGGTTGAACTCATCCCTAGACCCCACCCATCGACTCTTCAGAAGAAATGGCCTGGTGATCTGCTTCTGTAAAGATAACTCCCAGGGTCACCACGAGTCGGGTGGACTCTACAGCAGCTAACGAGAACAACCCTGGGCCACCAAAGTGTTAAGTGACTTGTCCACATTTACACAGCTATTAAGCAGTAAAGATGGGACAGGAACCTAGCCAGTCTGGTTCCATGTTAAGTAAACAAGAAAATTCAGATGCTGATAACTATTGAATAGAAAATAAGACAAGTAATGTGGCAGTACACGAGATGTACTTTGCACTTGCTATCAGGAGGGACCAGCACCTGGAGAAGGGCATCATGCTTAGTAAAGTAGAGGGTCAGTGAAAAACAGGAAGACTCTCGACAAGATGGATTGACACAGTGGCTGCAACAATGGGCTCAAACATAGCAAGGATTGTGAGGATGGCACAGGACCGGCCAGTGTTCGGTGTTTCATTCTGTTGTACATAGGGTTGCTATGAGTCAGAACTGACGGGATGGCACCTAACAACAATGACAATATGATAGTGGAGACATTTGAGCTGAAACCTAAATGACAAGGAGGACCCAGCCATGCGAAAATCTGGAGGAAGAGCATTCCAGGCAGAAGGGATAGCAAGTGCAAAGGCCCAGTGGTGGGAGCAGGCTTAGTGTAGCAAGCCTTGGAGAGAAGTAGGAGGGCTGTGTTATGCCCCTTTTGCTAGCAGAGAAATGGAGCTCAGAGAGGTAAAACCCTTGCCCTCCAGTAGGTGGTGGGCTGGGAATAGTGCCTGAATCTTCTGGTTCCTGGGCCTGGTCACTTCCTGGGGCCCTCATGGTTGGCCTGGAGGGGGGACACACCCAAGGCTCAAGTTTCCCGCTGGCCTGCTCTGGCCCCAGAAGAACAAAGGCCCCTTCTCTCTGTCCCTGGCCCTGCTGGCCCAGCTGAAATGCCCATTGTGTGTCTGGGCAGCTCTGGCCATTGCCGGAGAGCCTCCCACACCCTCTGCCACTTGCCTGCCCCAGCCTTTCTAGGTCCTCTCTGCCCAGCCCGCCTGCTCCTATCTCCAGCCAGTCCTCATACCTGTGTCTGCTGTGTTGGCCTGGTAGCTTCGGCTATTATAAGTGACCAGCTGCAGCTGCCGGTTGAGCTGGTCCAGCCCTGGGCTGGTGAGTGTGAGGTCCGGCTGCCCCTCTCCAGTGAGAGTCACTCCTGTCACTTCCCCTGCCACATCCCAGGTGCCCAGGGAGGCCGTCAGGTTCACCTGGGAGAGGGGGGTTGGAGTGCAGGCTTAGGCCCTAGACCCACCTCTTGCCTCCCTGGTCCTTCCATCCCTCCCTTGGCCCTGTCTCTCTCCCGGCTTCTTTACTGCCCCCTGGCCTCCCTCCCCTCCTGTCTCCTCTCACCTGGTATAGCTCCCGACCTGAAGCTGCCTGCAGGCTTAGCCCTGGGAGGAAGGATGGGATATCAGAATCAGTGAATCCTCAGCTTCCCTCCCCTCTTCCAGCACACATAACACATGACTTTTCACCATTCCGCCTGTTGAGGCATCAACAGGGCATATTGGCTAACACAGCCTAGAGTGGCTGGTTTTGACTCCTTCTCGTCAAAGCAGTATCGCTTCTATGACCTGGCCTATCCACCCACCTAACCTTTGGTCAGTGAGCAAAGAAGAGATTCTTCTCCCCAAACCTCCCCAGTTACCAAAATCAAACCAAACCAGTTGCCATCGAGTCAATTTCAACTCATGGCAACCCCATATGTTACACAGTAGGACTGCTCCATAGAGTTTTCTTTACAGAAGGAGCCCTGGTGGCTCAGTGATTAAGCACCCAGCTGCTAATCACTGAGTGGGGTGAGCAGTTTGAACCCACCAGCCGCTCCGCTGGAGAAAGATGTGGCAGTCTGCTTCTGTAAAGATTACAACCTTAGAAACTTTATGAGACGGTTCTACTCTGTCCTATAGAATCGCTGTGAGTCGGAATCAACCAGACAGCAATAGTTTTTCATTTTTAAAAAAATCTTTATGGAAGCTGATTGCCAGACCTTTCTTCCACAGCACTGCTGGGTGGGTGTGAACTGCCAGTCTTTAGGTTAGTAGTCAAGTGCACAGTCTTCTACAATTCCTGACAACCCTAGCTTCCCTCTGTCCCCACCTCCCACTTCATGAGCCCCCTTCTGACCTCCAAGTTCCCCTCTCATCAAGAATCCCACCTCCCATTCCAACCTTCCCTCATTCTTCTCCACCCAGCCTCGGGCCCTGCCATCCTCACCATGGCCCAGGTCATTCTCTAGACCTTCCTTCTCACCTGGCACTAAGATGCTCCTGAGGGGCTGCACCTCCACGCCCTGCAGGGGGTACTGTAGGGGAGAATTGGCAGGGGCTATGAGCAGCTGGTCCGTTGGGGACCGGCTCCTGGCGGTGGAGGAGAGGGAAGAGAGAGGGGGAGTCAGAAGGAAAGGGGCTCTCCTGTCACACTCACCCTCCAGGCCTCCCACTGCTCTCCCCCTCAGAGTCACCCCCTTCCTTCTTGCTGGTACCTTGAGAGGAAGGCCTGAAACTCCTGCTCCCTGGCGGCAGAGGCAGCCCTCAGCTCCTGAGGGTCAAAGGCCTTAGTGAAGTCAAAGGCTTGGACTTGCCTCTGGAAGAGGAGGGAAAGGCCCCTCCCACTGGACTCACAACTGCAGTTGTTCTGAGCCAGCAGCCTGGAGAGGGGAGGAGGAGGCATCAGAGCCCAGCCACACAGCTCCACTCATCCCACAATCTATTTACATAGCACTCCACACGTTAGCCCCGTCACACTGCCCATCCAATATACGTCCCCTTAAACATTGCTCCTCAACTAATTCCCAAGAGGGAGGATCATGGGTAGGATGCCGTGTCCCCTCAGTCTGGATTTTACAGAAGGAGGCAGAGAATAAGGCCGATTACTAGGATTTCCAGAGCTGCCTGCCCACCATTCAGGACCCCATCTGGAATCTCCTATTGAATGACTCACACCAGGGACTCTTTCAGGCCCCTCCCCGGACTGAACACCCTCCCATCCCCATCTTCAGGATAAGGTTCCGGGAGGAGAGATTTCCCCCCAGCGAAACCCTTAGCATTCCTCCCCACCCCCACGTCACCCCCATACAACCAGTCTGGAGAACTCAGGCATCAGAGCCCAGCCCCGGAAGAAACAAAAGCCTCCTCTCTCCCCCTCCCTCGCCCGCTCCGCCCCCTAGCTGCCACCAGGGAGGTTCTGACACTCACCCCACCACCTGCTCCTTGATCTTGACTGGGATATGTGCGTAGCGAGGCTCTGGGGTAAGAGCTGGCAGCTGAGGCCTGGGGGGACCCTGCGGGGGCGCCCAAAGCGCCGAGGGAGCCTGGAGGCCCGGCGAGCTCCGGGTGCTAGCGTACAGGAGCCCCAGCGAGGTGCAGGCAAGCAGCAGGACCAACGCGCAGAGCGCCCTGCGGCCCAGCCGCATCCTGGAGATGCGGAAGGGTGAGCGGCAGGGTGTGGGCCGGGACCCTTTACCCGAGCGGCTCCCGGGGCTCCTGCTGGCTCCTCGGGGCGCTTTCCATACCCCGCGCACTAGCACGTGCACAGCGACTCGCTCCCCCGGTTACACCCCCCACCCCCCGTCTCCTCCTCCCCTCACTCCCCCGGCCACAGGGGCTCTCGGCCTCCTTTCTTCTCGTCTTCCCCCGCATCTCGGTTTGTTCTCATATCCGAGGCCTGGCTTCTTCATGCAAGAGACATTTGGATGCGGCGGTTTCCACGCGGCCGCTCATAGGTGGGAAAGCAACGTTGCATCAGGCAGCGGTGGTTCCCGAGCCTGCCTTCCACGCGGGCTCGCGCATCGCCCCGCTCGCCAGCCCGAGCCGCACCTGGGCCCGGATGAGCCGCAGAAGGCGGCTCCACACCTTGCTTGTCATGAAAAATGCAGAATCACGCCCGCGCTATTGGGTGCACCGGCAGAGGTGACCCCGCGAGTGGCCTCGGGAAGCAGGGGAGTAAGGGACAGAGTGGACTGGCGCGCAAGCCTCCCACCTCCAGCTCGGCCCTCATCCCACCCGGGCACTGACCTGTCTATCGCTCTATGGCCGAGGCACGCTTGCGGTCCGGGCTGCGCTGGGCTCCCGGCGCCGGCCTGGAGGTCCTCATCCGGCCAGGGCGTTCTGTCTGGGGAGCCGGCGTGAGCCTGAATGTTGCGGCTCCTCCTGCCTCCGGAAAGCGCTCAAACCTCCCCGCCCACGGACTCTTGGGGCTTTGCGGACCGCTACGCCTACGCAGGGGTGACTCTCGGCGTCCCCTGCAGGGTGGAAACCCGGTTGAGAACAGCCGCGTTTCAGTCCCGGAAACAAAGCCGGGCTCACTGGCGCCCTGCCCCACTTGCCGGGCAGAGAAGGCTCAGGCCGCCGCCCGGCTCTTGGTATCACCGCGCCACGACGCTCGGTTCCCGGGCTCGTTGCGGCGAACGCTCTGGCTCCCCGCTGGGAATGAGAGCGCCAGGGTGCCTTCTGGGGGGCGCAGAGGAAATTGCAGGCGCGCGGAGCCGGAGCCCAGGGAAAGTCTGTCTCGCCATCATTCAGCTCTTCGCCCCCAAACCCTGGCATCTCAGCCATCTGCCGCAAGTCCTAGCCGTCCTATTTTCCCACTCGTTCAGAGTCTCCCTCCCATCGCTATTGTACGCAAGAATGGGTTTTGGGAGCGGATGGGACGAGGGCGCCCTAACACCCCATTTCAAGCAAAGTTTGAATTATTAAGGTGAAATAAAGCAAACAAGCCTACATATTGGAAAAGTAAAATCCCTACCTGCCTAACAAAGACAGATTCAAAGCCTCCTGTCCTATTATCTGACAACACTACAGTAATTCAAGGGCCTGTTGTTCTTGTTAGCTGCTATAGAGTCCACCCGACTGTGGTGACCCCATGAGTTATCTTTACGGAAGCAGATCACCAGGCCATTTCTTCTGAAGAGTCGACGGGTGGGGTCTAGGGATGAGTTCAACCGCCAACCTTTGAGTTATTAACCCATGACAAACCACTGGGCCACCAGAGTTCCTTTAATTCAGGGACCTACTTCTCTTAACCTCTGCTACTGTGCAGGCTTGCAAGAGCAAGGAACGAGGGGCTGTACTAGCGTTGGTGCTACGCGGTGCTTTAACTCATGGTGTCACTCCCCTGTTGTGGATTGAACTGTGTCCCCCAAAATTATGTGTTGTGGTTATAATCCCATTTATTAATGGATTGTCTTTATTATGCTAATGAGGTAGAATTAGTGTACGGTGTATCTTGAGTCAGTGTCTTTTGAGATATAAAAGATATTAAGACCCAGCTAGCGAGGACAGAAGGAAGAAGAGAGGTGCCAAACACTTGAAGATTGCCCAGAAGCAGAACTTCAAAGAGTCAAAAGACCTTCCCCCAGAGCCAAGGGAGAAGGACTTCCTCTAGAGCTGGCACCCTGCATTTGGACTTCTGGCCTCCTAAAAGGTGAGAAAATAAATTTCTGTTTGTTAAAGCCATCCATTTGTATTATCTCTGTTATAGCAGCACTAGATAACTAAGACACCCCTGTGCTAATGACCACAGTATTATAGCTAAAACACCAGAAAATTTGACAAAATCAGCAACTATAAAAACACCAGCAGCAATGAAAACAATAGCAGTGTGCTTCTTGCCTGTGCAGATGAAACCGTGTGATTCCAAGCATCATTGTAATTGGGTAAGAACGACAGTTCTGAAGGTTCAAAAAGTAACTTAGCATAGAGTTTTAGCCTTATAGGTGTATTGATACATGTAAGCTAGGCTTATGAAAAAAAAAACTTTATTGTTATAACTAACTGTAAGGATATTTTCATAAAAAAATAAATTTCTAAAAAAATACATTTCTGCTAAAACACTGCACAAAAATTTTACAGACAATCATTTTGGTGTCACCCCCTCTGACAGTGTCACCCAGGGCAGTCCACACCTCCAGCACCCTGCTAGTGATGCCACTGGAAGGAACTCCCACAGAAAGGTTAGATTGGCTATAGTTCTGCCTGCAAGACTTAGACCCATAGACACCCCTCCCTATAGCCCAATTCCTGACGATGTCCAGAATCACAGTCCAAGATTCTAATAAAGGAAGTAACAAGATTTAGAAAGAAAAAGAGGCACCCTGGGGCTGAAGTGGAGGAATCCAAGACTGTGAGGATTCTGAGGGTAAGGTGGGTTGTGAGGGTGAGGGTCCTCTGGGCATTCCAGCGCATGACAGAGAAACTGCTTGAGGCTGAGAGATTGCTGGTTCCTGGGACTTTCCATCCTGTAGCCATCCAGACCCTGCATGATTATCACAAGCACTCATTGCATGTTTATCTTGGGTCAGAAGTTCTTCCGAGCAAAATATGTGGGTTAGCTTGTTTAACTGAGTCTTCAAGAGGAGCTTGATGCTAGCATACCTCTTTCTTAGAGGCAATTTTGTCCCTAATTCCAGGAAGATGGATGATTCTATCCACCCCAAGGACATTTGCCAATGTCTAGAGGCATTTTTGGTTGTCATAACTAGGGAAGAGAGTCCTGTTGGCATCTAGTGGGTAGGGACCGGGGGTGCTGCTAAACATCCTATAATGCACAGGACAGCCCCCACAATAAAGATTTATCCGGTTCAAAATGTCAGAAGTGCCAAGGTTAAGAAACCCTGAGCAACAGTGTCAGAATGAAAAGCACAAACATCTTGACTGAGATAAAGGGGAGCAGGACAGCTCAGGAATAGGGGCTCATTTTCCAAGGGGGAGGGACTAAATGTCAGAGGATGAGAAAACAGAGCCTATTTTCCACGGATGAGAAACAGAAGCAACAGAGGAGTGTCTTAGTTATCTAGTGCTGCTATAACAGAAATACCACAAGTGAGTGACCTCAACAAACAGAAGTTTATTCTCTCACAGTCTAGTAGGCTAAAGTCCAAATTCAGGTCATCAGGTCCAGGGGAAAGCTTTCTCTCTCTGTCAGCTCGGGAGGAAGTTCCTTGTCATCAATCTTTCCCCAGACTAGATGCTTCTCAGCGCAGGGACCCTGGGTCCAAAGGATGCACGCCGCTCCTGGCACTACTTTCTTGGTGGTATGAGGTCCCCATGTCTCTCTGCTCGCTTCTCCCTTTTATATCTCTAGCGAGATTAACTCAAGACACAACCTAATTTTATAGATTGAGTTCTTCTTCATTAACACAACTGCTGCTATTTCCACCTCATTAACATCATAGAGGTAGGATTTATAGCACATAGGAAAATCACACCAGATAACAAAGTGGTGGACAATCACACAATACTGGGAATCATAGACTAGACAAGCTGACACAGATTTTTGGGGGACACAATTCAATCATGACAAGGGGCTGGGGGGAGGTGTTCCTAGAGGGAGACAGAGGAAAAAGTGGGGAGAGAATCCTATTTCATTAATATAGAAACTTACGGAAATAGTCACACTGTTTAAAAAAATTTAAAGGAGTAAATACAGCAAAATTGGCTGATTTTTCCTAAGCCAGTTAAACATTTCCTGTGTCATTACGTTTTATAGACCTACATAGTTAACTGCTGATATACGGAAATGTTTATACTTATAAGTACAAAGTTTATTTTTTTATTATGAAGATATAATTTGTATACAGTAATAATCACCCTTTTATTGTCCAGTTTTACAAACCACCTCCACAATCAAGATACAGAATGATTCCATCACCCCCCAAATTCCTTCATGTTTCTCCTTTGTAGTCCCCACTCCCTTGCCCCGTCCCAACTCTTGGGAACCACTGATGTATTTTCTATCTCTAGAGTTTTACCTTTTCCAGAATATCACATAAATAGAATGATACATGATGTAGCCTTTTGAGTCTGCTTCTTTCACTTAGCAAAATGCATTCATCCATGTTGAGTGTGTTTGTTAATAGTTTGTTCCTTTTTTTAAATTTTTTTTTATTGTACTTTAGATGAAGATTTACAGAACAAATAGTTTCTCATTAAGCAGTCAGTACACATATTGTTTCGTGACATTGGTTAACAACCCCACAACATGGCAACACTCTTCCCTCTTGTCCTTGGAGGACCTTTCTTTTTGTGAAAATATACATAGCAAAAGTTACACTGTATCAAAAGTTTCTACATGTACAATTCAGTGACCTCGATTACATTCTTCCAGTTGTGCTGCTATTACCACTGTCCTTTTCCAAATTATTCCGTCACCATTATCTTCCACTCACTGCCCCCGAGGCTTCCCATCAAAACTTTTGAGTTGCAATTGTCAATTTGATCTCACATACATAATACTTTTTTTTTTTTGTACCTTAGATGAAGGTCTGCAGAACGAATAGTTTCTCATTAAACAGTTAGTACACGTATTGCCCTATGACAACGGTTAACAACCCTACGACACGACAACACTGTCTCTTCTCAAACTTGGGTTCCCTATCACCAGCTTTCCTGTCCTCTCCTGCCTTCTAGTCCTTGTCCCTGGACTGCTGTGCCTCATTAGTCCCATTTTGTTTTATGAGGCTGTCCAATCCCCGGCTGAACGGTGAACTTCGGG